AAAAAGGGTTGTTATGCAAGTTGATGTTTCTTCCCGCCGCGTGTTACCTTACACATAGTTTCTTTGAATTTTTACACAATATTCTTCTTCAATGTTCATATGAATGAACATCACAAGATTCATTCACAATTTTTGGGTAGTGCAGATCATCTATCACCAGAATAATCGGCTAATCATTTAACGCTTAATTTATTATATTAAATTAGTTATGTGCCAATTACCACACAATCTCAATCAACCCCTCGACCGACCAGCTCTCCAAGCAACAACACAAACACGTCTAATCCTGCATCAGATCGCAAAGTTATAGATAATCGACCAACATTCACAACTACATCATTTCATGCCACACCATTTCAGGCTGGAACAGTTAGGAAACGTAGGACCGATACATTAGGATTCTCACAAGATGTAGGACCATTCTTCTCACCAACTCAACAACATCGTAACATTTATAGTGCAGATAGAACGTTAAGGTACATTACATAATAAAGTTATATCTTTATATTAATAATATAATATTATTAATTACTAATCTTTGTAATCTTTGTAATCTTTGTAATCATTGTAATCTATATAATCTTTGATAATAGTTATAAGCTTCGTATTAATTCTAAGGTAGATCGTGGATTCTTTTTGGCTGATAACGATTGGACATGTTATCGAAGGAATTATTTCCAAATAAGCAGTGCATTTTCTATCTTAAGTGCAACTCATACCATGAATGAATCAGACATATCATGTTTACTTGAAGTTGATGGACAATTTCATCCTGTTAGTCAATTCTTATTGGGTATCACAGCAAGAGTTTCCAATAGTGACAAAAAGATTGAATTAGTGCAACACACACCCAAACGTGACAAAGGACCACAAATGGTTCCAGTTCCAAAACCTATTCGTGCAGGTGGAAATTTGAACCTTAGTTCAGTTGGATCAAACTCAAACATTGTTACCTTTGAACGTATTCAATTTAAAACTGCAACAGCTAATAATGGAAAACGTCGCGCAGCGCAACAATATTATGTTGTAATGGTCGATCTTTACGCACAGACAGAAAATGGAGAACAATATCGAGTAGCAACATCAACTTCAGCACCTTTGGTCGTAAGAGGGCGTAGTCCTGGACATTATGCCGATAATCATGACCGTTACAATCCAATGGGCATGAATCCAGCTTTCCCAAATGATCGTCATATTGGATTTCCACATCCTCAAGGACCAGGGGGAGCACCAGTTATGACACAGGATTTTAGTGGACCTTTTCCAGGACCATACAATCAATACCCACCCTTTCCAGGGTTCCCCCCTGTTAACGGAGGGCCAATGCGAAATGACGCTTTATTGATGATGCCGAATGGACAAGCACCACAATTTCATCCTCAACATCCACATCAGCAATACATGGTACAAGGTATTTCCGATGGAGAAAACCCTAATCCAGATATGTACAGTAATGCAAACATGGACACTAGCGTGGTTAATAATTCACACGACCAAAAGATGCATGACATACATATGGAAGGGGGTAAATAAAATATGAAAGAAAGAATGAAAGAACTAGACAAACGAATGTAAAAATTGGCATTACCATCTAATCTAACCTTTATTTATTTATTTATATAAATTTAGTAACAGCCGCTTCCGCGCCACATTCAGCATTTTCAAACTTTGAATCCCGTCAAATTCAAACACCAGTGACCGGACCAAATGCACCAGGTAATAATCCATTCATGAAAAATCTAGAAAATCTAGATTACTCATACACCTGAAATTAACTGACATTTTCTGCTTATTCTTTACAAGAATATGTTGAAGGATTTCATATGTATCATAACGAAAGTCACCCCACCAGCAGTACATCCGCACATGAAGGTTATCAATCCGATACTGAGCCTCATAATAATGGATTAAATCACATGAATGGACGGCAAACAAGACCAGACGGTTCGTCAGAACATAATAATTCATCACAGATTAATGGGGATAAATCAGGACATGATTCAAAATCACCTTTATTAGCAAACGGCAATAACAACATCACAAATTACCGAATTGGAAAAACAGAAAACACCGATAAGCTGTAAAGATAAGATATGGACAATTATAATTTTTTTTGATTTAGAATTTAAATATCCGTCTCTGAGAAACGGATTTTGTTTTGCTTATTTATTTTTTCGGCGTTTATTGGTCTCGCTTTATGATTTGTTTATAAGGTATATAAATTTGGGTTGACTCTATAAGATGTATATGATTTTACGATGTATTTAATTTTTGGGCTAATGGAAAAAATAGGATTTTTGGCTTTCACGGCACTTTTAGAGAATCAAAAGGGTTTTTTTTGTGCTATATATGTATAAGTTACAATATTAGAGAACACCAAAAATACCACGGTTTTTAATTTATATTATTTAGCTGTACACTTATTACTTTTACATTATACTTTATATATAATTTTTTTTACATATTATTAATTTTGGTTTTGGCATGGTCGTATTATTATAGTATAATTATTATAAATGTAACTTTCTATTTATTGTCCTTTTTTTTTT